ATATTTTCCCTTAAAATTGTTATCTTTGATTTATTTAACTTTTCATTTAATTATTATTAAAGAATCAGCACACTGATCACTTCAAAATTACAAAAAATCATTTTAACTTTTGATTGTTGATGTGACCGTATAATGTGGTTAGATATTATTCTGTTTACATTGAAAATTAACTTTTCTTGAAAAATAAAAAACGTATTTGAAATTTCTAAATTAATTTATAAATAATTCACAAAAAAATACATATTAAAATATACATCAATATTACATTTAAATTATTTTTTATTGTATATTACAATAGTTATTATTAAAATTAGTAATTATATTTTACACTAAATGATATATGAAAGTTACATAAACATAAAAAGTTATACTGTAAAAACTTTTTGTTCAAGTTATTATTCTATAATCAATATTGAATGTTTTTATCTAATATTTTTTAAATAAATTATTTTGTTATGATGTCATAGAAAAATTTCTTAAAGAACATAAGCAATTGTTATAACGATTAATATTTTTCAGCTAATTAATTGGTTATGATCCCTCAAAATTACAAAAATTACATTATTTATTATATTTTATGCAATCAATATAGTGATTCATATGCAATCAGATCGTTGTGTACTATTTATTTTAACTAATGATCGAATTTAAAACATAATTTCATCATCTAATTTTAACTTTAATATTATATGTATAAATATAACTTATTATACTTATGTTTAAAATATAGTACTATTATCTAACTGACAATTTTAATTATATGAATACAAATAACTTATAATACTATATTTACATTTAGACAAATGCACAAGGTCGAATACTAGTATATGTATAAATTCATGCCTTTGGTTTTTTAATATGTTCTAGTAATCATTTATTAATAAATTGTCTTCTGGCAACAACTAATTAACTCTAGAAATCTTTAAATTTTGGAAATTCTAAGTTAACTAGTATTCGACCTGTGCATTTGCACAGATATATAAATAAAGTATTGTGAGTTATTCGTATACATATAATGGTTAATGATTTTTGCCAAATTTACAATTACATGAGGTGAAATATTTATTTTCTTAAATTGTGTTTATCATATTGGATGTAACGTATATTTTGGTATGTATCTTTTTTTGTGAATTATTTATTATTTATTTAGGAATTTCAAATACGTTTTTATTTTCAAAAGAAGTTAATTTAAATTTAATTTTTCAATAAAACTTAATCACGTTAAATAGTCAACACATTATACGGTCAGCTGTAAGTAAATCAAAAATTTAAAATGATTTTTGTAATTTTGAAGTGATTAGTGTGTTGATTATCTATTAATTAAATGAGAGGTTAAATAAATAAAAAGTAACGGTTTTTAGAGGGAAAAAATTATATTGCCACATAAGTATAATTTAATAGGTTTTATTAAATGCTCATGAGCCAGCAATTATATATATATAAATATAAAATATATATATTATTAAAAAACAATTGTTTATAAGATTCTAAAGTTGTTTAACTATGCTATTAAAAAATAATTTACTAATTATTTTTAAAGAAATATTTTTATGAGATACAAAAGAAAAAGATAATATTGATGTTAAAATACATAACTTGAAACAATTGTTTATAATTATGTAATTTATATTTATTGTGAATTATTATTAGTTGGTATTAGCAATAACTATTATATAATATAATAGAAACATACATGATTACACTCATTAAGATGTATTAATGTGAGAAGTAAAAAATATTAATGACAAATTTTGTAACCAAAAATGGAGGAAAAATTTTAAAGATTTTATTAAATGTTTTATTAAATGCTACATGGCAGCAATTATATATATATAGATTTTGCGAAGTGGTATTTAGGGCATGTTTGTATATAAAAAAAATCTAAATTCATACTCAATTTATCCTCAAAATCTAACTCATCTTTATTAATTCAACTCCACTATCTTCAATTCTATCAATATAATTAAATTAAATAATATCAACTAGTCATTCTTACACATCACATCAATTCTAATTTACTATTTATCTGCTCATATTTTTTTAACTAATCATCATTTCACATTATCTCTTTCATATTTTTACATCAAATTATTTTTAATTATCTTATTTTAAATATTATTTTAATATAAAATCAAAATTACAACTAATAACTAATCATTTTTTTTTTTTTTTTTGTCAAACTTAACTCCAGTTAACTAAAAAAACTCTATTTGATCGTATATTTTTGTATACAATGGCTTGCCTGCTGCGTGCTCCAGAGTTTAGTCTTTGTCAACTGGGTAATGCATTAAATAATTTTGTTCAGATATTTAAAAGTTATCACAAATGTTTGTGGTCATGAACAAAGGAAGAGCAAGCAGTTCTATTTGTAATTTTCATCTGAAGAAAAAAAAAGTAAAAACGTCTATTTTTTCCTTAAGATTTATTTTGGGGCCTTATTTTATATTGATTATACTATGTGTAAGAATATGTACCATTTCTTGATTTATGCGTGTCATCCTTGCGCAGGGGTCATGCTAATCTTCTCTGTATCGTTCCAATTTTATCGGATGTCCCCGAAGGGACGTGTAAGAATCTATATATATATATATATAATTATTGGTTATGGCATTTAAGAAAACCTCGAAAACAAAACCTCTAATTTTTTTTTTCATTTTCGGTTACAAAATTTATCATTAATATTTTTTTACGTCTCACATTAATACATCTTATGGAGTGTAATCATGTATTTTTTCTATTATATTATATAATACGCTACAAAATAAATGTTATATTCCAACAGAAAATCCTATGGTAATATATTCCAATGGAAATTCCAACGGATATTCCAATGGAATAGCTTCCGTTGGAATAGTTCCAACAGAAATTCCAACGGAAATATTCCATTGGAATGTGTTTTTCATTGGAATTTTAGATGGAATTTGATGATTCCAACGGCTATAATTCCAACGGCTTTTTACCGTAGGAATTTCCGTTGGAATATGCAAATTCCGTTGGAATTTTTTTTCCACCCCCGTTGGAAAATCCACCGTTGGAATCGTCAAAATCCAACGGAAATTCCAATTGAAAACTCATTCCAACGGAATATTTTCGTTGGAATTTTCGTTGGAATCCATTAAATTCCAACAGAAATAATAGTATTGAAATATCCGTTGGAATTGCCGTTGGAATAATTTTTTGAAATATATTTCCGTTGGAATTTCATCATTTTCTTGTAGTGATAGTTAATGTTAATACCAATTAATAATAATTCACAATAAATAAAAAATATATAATTATAAACAATTGTTTCAAGTTATTTATTTTAACATCAATATATTCTTTTTCTTTTATTTCCTGTGAAAAAATTTCTTTAAAAACAATTTAGTAAATAACTTTAATAGCATAGTCAAACAACTTAAAATCTTGTAAATAATTGTTTTTGTAATAATAATAATAATAATAATAATAATAATAATAATAATCAAATTGTTATTATCTAATGATAATAAACAATTGTTCATAGTAATAAACAATTGTTATTTTATTTTTCCTGTGATCAAATTTTGAAATTGAAATATGTTCATTATCTAGAATTTTAATATTAAATTCTCATATATTACTTATAATATATATATATATATATATATATATATATATATATAATTACTAGCTAATGCATATAATAAAACATTTAATAAAACTTATTTTCATTTCTTTCCAAAAGGAGTTACATTTTTTTAATTAATTACTCACTAATCTGCTAAAACTGTTACACCTTAATATATATATATATATATATATTATTTATTTTTTGGATCAGATACTATATTAATTCTAAATTTAGTAGCAAAATATTCAAATGTGTAACAGCAAATATGAAACTTAAAGTTGATTGACACATTCAGAATTGTAACCGCTAAAATTGAATTGTTGGAAGAAAAATATGATTGACACATATTTCTTTTTTTCTAAAAATCAGAAACACCAATAATTTTGTTTTATTTATGTTAATTTTCTTAATATATGCCACAAATATATAAATTAATTTATTCATGTTACTAATTTAACATGGTTAAAATAAAATTTAAATCTCACTTTATTTTGAATGATAAAAATAACTTAAGAAAAAGTAATAATATTTAGATGATAGAAGTACATGTCTAATTAATAAATACAAATAAAAACGTGTTTTATATCTGTGTAAATTCACAAGATTAAATACTAGTTTTATGTACATAGATAATTACTATTGGGTCAATGTGGGTGTGTCTAATTTATAAATAATTAATTTCGTTAGACAATAGAATAGGTAACGTTGAGTGACATATCATAATTTGTATTAAATTTGGCAATACTATAATATTTCATCCCCATCTGGAATCTGATGACGTATGAGATGAGAGCATGCTTTATATAATAATAGTAACATAAAGTAAAATAGCACATTATACTAGTACAAGTTGAAGGGGAATATAGGGCACAGTCTGGCATCCACAATAAAAAAATGAAAATATATAAATAAAAGCTTAAAAGCAAAAGATTCTACAAATTGGGAAATGCTAGGTGTGTTACTGAATTATTCCGTGTAACCGTTAGATTAACTATCTCTGACGGTTACATGATACGGTTACATGATGATCTAACAGTTACAAATTTCGACGGAATGGTTTCATAACGGGACCGTAGCATTTTCCCAAATTATAATCTTCAATAATTTTCAGTTATGAAGACAATATTTTTTAAATAATGGCTTAATTAATAATTACAAGAACACCTACCTACCAATCATCACCAATTCATGCTCAAAGACCTATTCAATGGATGAAGGCCTCACCACATGGAATTCCAAAATTCTACAATCCTTACAAAGTTCTGTGCAAAGGGCCCTTAATAGTGTCCATACATTGTGGTTGGGAAGCTATAAATAATTTTGAAACAAGTATTGACAAAAATCTTTCTCATGTCAATAAAAATTGTCAGCGATATTTTTTATGATAATCGCGCTGGTCGTCAAACTTATGTGGAACACCAGTGGGAGCGCGACAAGTGGACGACCGCAAAGGCCTACTGAGAACACTACATTGTTGCCCTCAAAGGGCCGAGAGATTGTCGTCACTATTTACGGCACGAACGATAATAACGAGCACGTAGAATCAGGAAGCAGCAGTTGCTCTTCGTCTGAAGATTTTTACGATGGTAAAATATGCGTCATTTGCTACGACGACCAAAGGAACTGCTTATTCATTCCCTGCGGTCACTGTGTTACTTGTCGCAAGTGCGCCCATAGGTAACGCTTTATTTTCATATCTTCTTATTAATTAGATCAAGTTGTGGGGGTCTCGTACCCTCGACACGTACTTATTTCGGGTACTTGAACATTAGTCTCTCTCTTTGTACCAAAAAAAAAA